CTTAGAACATCATTAATGGTGATTTTTTTTTTTTGTGTTTTAACACCTTTTTCATTAAAATATAATAAACTTTTATGAATTTTAATGAGAAAAATTCTATGTATTGAACTTTAAGACAAGGGTCTTAAAAAAAATAATATTAAAAAATGACTTAAAATATTTTAATGGATGTTAAGGTTAAAAATGCTCTTAAGACTTACTATGATCCAAGAACTTTGTAACTTGCATATAAATAAGCAGTTACGTAGAATATTTATACTCCAAAAAGACACCAAAAAGGCAAGCTACCTCATTGGGAATATGATGAAACTAATTATCGAAATCGATTAAAGGTAGTCATCAAAATCGAAACCGATCACTAAGAGCACTTCCTTCTATTCACATCTATAATTTGATATTTGACGAATTAACAATATCATGGTTTTGATATACTACCGGTTTCGGTTTGAATTTCTGAACTGTTTCAATTAATTTAACGTAGTTGATAAAAACCAAATTAACCGGTAGTTATGTATATCTTCGTTTATCAGTACCAAAACATGACCAGAATCACAATGATGGATTATTCCAACACATATATTGTTTTCAAACTCTGAACCATATCATAAGCTTAAAGAGAGTTTCTTTTGATTGAATATCTTGGAAAGAATCGGAACTTTGTTGAACAATAGGTAGCTGATGATTACATCGTAATTAAAATACCTAATATTCCATTTAAGTTATACAATACACTGTGAACTCCTTATGGTCTCATCACCTCCAAGAGTTGATCGGAGCAATCAATAATCGCGTATAAAGAGTGATCGAAACCAGTTAGGATCTAACTTTAGCAAGCCGAGCTCGAATTCCCTCCAATTCTTCCTCATCATCAACACTCTACGCAATTGCCTCTCTCTGCAAACAAAAGGAATAAATAAAAACCAATCAGAATATTGGGTACTTCCAAAGTTCCAATGTGAAATATGCTTATTACGACATTACTCAAGTCTAGCTATTTTTTTCTTTCTCTATCTAATTAATTCAAATTGTAACCGTATTCAGCTATTAACCACCTTTGAATTCTTAAACGTAGTGATTGTGAAACCGT